ACTCGAAATTAATCTGTCCGCGTCGCAAACTTGAAAGTGCGCTAAAGGAGGACGTCTTTGATAACGAGCCAAGACTTATTCGGTCACCACCGGAGTCCGGTGAAAACATTTCCACAGTTAATTCCAACTAGTATAAAGTTGTTATTTGTTTTGGTACAGTTAAGCAAACTATTAATCTAAAACCGCCCGGCAGCGAACTTATATCCTTCTCCTTCCATTCCTCTTATTATACGCTTTTCAATAGCCACCATCTAAATTTCCCATTATGATTGATAACCGCAATAACGGCCCGTTATGACGGCGAAATGAAACGTAATAGAGTGGCCATTTATCATCAGTTTCGAGACTAAATTCCAGCTATCTAGTTTTAAATACATTTCATCAAGCTTAATAAATCCAACACTTCGATATCGTCCTTTTTTAGCCCTAAATAGTTTTCTCTGATTACTATATTAACTCCATGATTAAATGGAAATTGAGGGTGAATAGTAGGTAAACATGCGAAGTCACCTGATTATCATTTTCGTGTTACATGCCACCACGACACTATCCTTCATAACGGATTAAAAATGTTATTAAACTAACTACATTAATTATGTTCATATGTTTGATTTACATGGAGATAAAACAACGATAAAATTAAAAATAAAAATGGGAGAAAATGCTAATTTATAGCTCAAAAAATAAAAACGATATCATAAGTTTTTATATACAGTGTGTTTAAATAATTATCGTACCCGACGTCATCATTGCAAGTATGCAACCAATATCACAGTATTTTTATTGCAATACGCGATTTGCGTATGATGCGTATTGCACTGTGATATTGGTTGCATACTTGCAATGATGACATCGGGTACGATAATTAATTAACATATTGTACAAAAACATTCGTAATTACCGAATCAAGTGAAATGTTGTCTATAAAAATTATTTATATTGAACCAAAATAGTATAATCCATAACTAACCTGAGCTTAGGTCTTTCTTCTGCAGTAATAAAGTGAAAATCTTCAAAAATCTCAAAACGAATGGTTTACATTAGAAAATGAAAATAAATTATTTATAATAAACTAAACATAATTCATAAACAGTTACAATCTAACTATAACTATTTTTCATGAATAAAGCTGAAATGCTATATCACAACCTAAAATCTAATGTTATTCGAGGAAAATATTGCGCATATAAATTGTTTATAATGAACCAAATAATGATAATCCATAATCAATTCAACCTAGCCATAATATTTTGTTACTTAATTTGATGTAACTAAAGTAGATCAAAAAATGTAGTAAAATGATGAAAATAAGTTTGTGTGTAGATGCCGTAAACTTTTAAAACTCCACAAATCACCAAAACTGATAAACTTATTAAATCTACTAATAATTCTATATATTCTTCAGGAATAATATTTCAAATATTCGAGCTGATAACGTTTTCTTGCTAAGTCAAGATGCAGATAACTGGTTCCAGTTGGACTTTTTCGACCAATCAGCTTTTCTCACATCTACTGATACTCTGAGGATGTACTACAAGAGATTGCTTTTCAATTTTTAGCAGGAAAACGATCACAACTCATAATATTTCAACGAAAATGTTAACTTTGGTAAGCGCTTTATGTAAAAATACATCAATAGTCTTTTTACGTACTTTGTACACCAATCTAAATTAAAAAAGAAGACACGTATTTTATTTTTTGTGTTATCAATGTTCTTGAAAAACTAATAAAATATTTATAAAAATCTTACGGACATCAAAAGTAATAAACTGTTATTTTGTTTTCTTATTTCTTGCATTAAATGTCTACACAAATATGGAAAAATAAATTAAGCAACAAAAATTCAAGGTAGTTATTTTAATATGATTTTCACTTAAATATTTAGACGCTTTGCGTACTTCGTCCACTACTCCAGTTAACTTGCCAAATATTAGAAAATGCCTGTAACTTATCATTGACGTCAACATGAGACCAGAGCATCGGTCCGATGATACATGGGCGCACAGACAATCAACTGGTCCAGTTCAAAAGTTACATTGGGTTAATACTATAATATAACTTTTATTTCCAAAACTGGAAAACGTCTATTATTATATACACTTCCAAAAAACTTCATCTCTGTCCAATTACTACTCCCATTGTTATGAATAAGCTTTATAAGACACACTTGAAAAACAAGCTGTTGAATGCTGTCTCAAGAGAAATCCTGTCGCTCTAATTTGGATGCCACCAAACAATCTAAGAGAAAAATATGCTGTACTTGAAAACATGAGTATGTGTTCATAACAGTAAATTGTTATATGAGTGTTTGTACAGGATAGACAAGCATTATGCAGAAATCGGCTATTTGAGAATTTTTGCGAATGTCACAAGAAATTGAATTATTTCTGTTCTTTTTATTTCTGTTTCTGTTCTTCTTCCTTTGGAGAAGGATGTCCTTTCATATCAAACGTGGCGTATGTAGGAGAGTGACAGTGAAGACCCATATCAGCCAATTACTAACAACCCACGGCTCACGCATTCCATGCTTCTTTTAGGCCATCTGTTTGTTGACATTATATCAATATTCCTCACTTTGTGTCTCCTTGTCTTTGTACAGCATTTTCCCACTACTCCATTTGCATTGCATTTATATTCAGTTATGTTCTTCGACCAGAGTTTTATACATTCGTTTTTTCTTTCTTTTGGATATTTTTTTACTCCAGAGAATGTTGTTCGGTCTCGAGCTAAGGTATTAACTAAGTTTGACACAAACTCTAAAGCGACACATTAGCGATGTATTAGGCTTGGTGGAAAGAGAAAGTGAACCCCAAATTAGCAAAACAAACATGCTGCAGAATATGTCCTCGTATGTTATAACGTATGTTTTATTTATGTATGGATTCTAGGTTTAAAGACCGTTCGTCTTTGAATTTTCTTGCGTTACAGCTTTCTTTTCTAGTTAATGTTAGTTACAACATATTCGTCTGTATGTTATAAGTAATATTTGCTTGTAAGCATCTTTCTCACAAACTTCTTTATAAAGGTAATGCATTACCTCTCTTATCATTTACAACAAATACACCTCCTTTCTCTTTGTACTTGAAATCTTCTTTTACTATTTCCTCACAAATACTGAGTGTTTTTAGAGACACTCTGACTTTTGTTTTAACTTCAGCAGCAAGAAAGTAACCTTTACAATCTGATCCGGAATTCTTTTTACTATCAAGCATTTGCCTATGTTTCTCACGACCACGACTTACCACATTATTCAAGATAAAATCCTTCTTGCACTTAAAATCACAACTCCAATGGTTTTTGAATTTCAATTTTTTCCATTTAAATGTTGGTTATTCAGAGCAATGTATGTCTTTTGATCAATATTCACTTTTTCCCACCGATTAATTCACTCACTGTTCGTACGTCTGCAATATTTAAAAAGCAATAAGTAAAAGTTACTGTAAGATGGGGTTACTTGGACACGTTTTTTTGTAAATGTTTCAAGATTAAGAGTGAAGAAATAAAGTTAGGACAACAGAAACTTGTTCATCATACCAACCTAACCTTCTGACAAACAACAAAAAATATATAAAAAAGTGATGTTCGAATAGCCCCGTTGTTGGGGCTTCTTGGACATTAAACTTCGTTTTAGAGACAATCATATATGCATGTCAGATGATGACTTTACCAGACATGTAACCCTGAAAGTGTAACTGAAGCATTAAGGAATATATTTTTATGTAAAAGACACATTTTTTATTGAATTAAACACTAAAAAATATTAAATAAATTTTAACAAAACTGTATTTATTTCTTCTTACAAGTGTTTCAAAAAAATCTTCTAAAGTTAACCTTAAATTAATATAAATCGAAATAAAAGAAACAAAAATTAAGGTATATACCAACAATAAACGTATTAAAACCCAAAAACTACTGTTCTACTGCACAATTCAAACTTAAATTAATAATAATCATTTTTCCTTCATAAATTTCTTTAATTCTGAACGAAGGAAATCTTTGTCTTGATTGCTATCATCAAAGATTTCTTCGTGTTCCGAGTCTTCGCAGCGAGAGCAGTTGTAAAATGATTAGCCCCGGGGTGGCCAAGTAGCCCCATTTTAAGGTACTTTTTTAAAATTTAAATGTCAATTAGTAGCCAACGCAGCCGTACTGACGAGGTAGTAGAGAATATTCGCCAAAACAAGACCAATATCTAATTAGAAGCCGAGGCAGCCGTGCTGCTGAGACAGTGATGTTTGCATGAATATAGAACATATTTTTTTTAATAACAGTGTATTAAGAAATCTCCAAGGAAGCTATACTGCCGAGGCAGTGTCACAAATATTGATACGGATCTATGATTTTATGACTATTTATTATTCTATGACTATATTTAAATGCATTTCAAATTCATTATTCCAAATTAACCAAAGTGATGTAATATGTATAATAAGGGAACCAGAGGCGCCTCCACCATTTCAGCTCGAATGAATAAATGGACGTTTAGTTCACGTGGGAGAACTCCACGCTTTTCTATATTGGCACACCAACGACAACAATTGTCACGATTGTTCGATTTGATTAATTCCTCGGCCATATTTACGGAAATATGACACATCGAATAAATATTGAATTAATCCCAATTATCGGATCCTAATGCGAGGCGGACGCGTAACATTCGAAATTGTCACCCAACATTTAACCGACGCCAGCTCCTGTTAAGTGTTGCACGCCAATGGACCGAACGAATGAATATTTGACCGGAGTGCAATTTAATTACAATAAACAAACATCGACTGATCACAATAACCGCTATAAATATTTATTTTGGCGACCGACGCGGCGTCCTCGTCCGCGCAAACGGACACTTCATTATTTCAACAAAAATTAAAGCATTCAACCATGCTTCACATTCATATAGGTTAATGAAGTGCGAAATAATCAATATAGGAGTTGAAAATTTAAAATTATTCATTCAAAACTTGTTCAGGAAATTTCAATCATATTTATTTTTGTTTCAGTAATTCCGACTAAAGTACACATGTTACACGACGATAAAGAACTGGTGGATCCGGTGTTAGGACCGTACAACGAAGGAACGGAAGTTGTGGTAACGTGCGAAGCAATCGGTGGAAGACCGATTCCTGACGTCAAATGGTACAACGGTTCGAGGGAAATTAAATGTAAGTCGAATAGGTATAGTAAATTAAGTCTCCGGTTTCTCCCCGATTCTCAGAGGGCGAGAAAGCTGTTTCAATCCGCAACGATCGTTGACGATAAGAGTGGATTTGGACGAGACATGGTCCGGTCTAGTTAAGAATCAGCGACCTTTCTCAGAATTCGCCGCACCACTAAGACGTCCCTGCTGTAAATAAGATGGGGTCTAAGGGATCGAGATAGGAAATAGGATCGAGCTCCTATAAAACTTAATGATAATTATCTAACCGCCCGTTTTGGTGTGCGTCGAATGGCTTTTTGAGTCCCAAGGCAGTTTGGCTTAATAAGGTGGTTCGGTTTAACACGTTTTACGGGCTTATATTACTACAAGTGACATAGTTTTAATATTACGAATAAATTTTTATTTTTTTCAAAAAATATTAGTTTCAGGCTTCCCATTTGTTTTCTCTCGGAAAATATACAAGGTGATATATTACCAAAAAGAAATGTTAATGAACATATCGATAGTCTCAAATCAATAACACGTAAGTCCAAAATGATAAGTTTTGGGAAATCACAAAAAACATTTCTTTTGTGATTTACGTTACACGATCGATGTTTATTTTACAAATTAAGAAGAGAACATCATAAAAAGTCGTATTAGATACAAAACGTTTAATTAAAAATCCTTTTCTCTTGTAAAATCAGACTTACGTGTTATTGAAATACAAAAAATAGACTTACGGGTTATTGAACAGCATTTTATTTCCGTAGAACATTCAAAAACTTGAAGTAAGTGTGTATTAAAAAAATGTAACACCGGTAATAAATTGTATACAAAATTAATTCATAAAACACAAAAAACTCATTCAAAAGTTAAATTGTCATAAAATGACCAACAATCCTCAGGTATAACCGATTTCAACTGTTGAAGGTGCTCATATTTGGTTTTTTTTATTTTTATTCTTTGATTATGAAGTTTTTCATATTCATTGTTAGTGGAAGAAATAGTTTTTCTTGTTCTTTGTGGTAGCTCTTCATACTCACTATCAAAATTTAGTTTAAAAAAAATTTTTTGCTAGTATTTCAAAGCTCGTAGATTTGTAACGGTTGGGTCTCCTGGTTTCCTTCCGGGTCTTATTGAAGAATAAACGAGATTTTTTTTGAAGTTCCTGAAAAACTTGTGATTCACTAGTTTTCTAGTAACTTCATGAAATTATTTTTTGGTGCTTGTTCTGATAAAATGCCTCTAACTCTTGGTCTTTCATTCTTTTCGTCATTGATTCCATGTTTACTTTGCTTGACCCAATTACAAACTTGCCATTCTCTTAACTTCAGTGTGGAAAGGAACATTTTTTTGCATACAGGATAAATGCCATCGTCTATTTTGAGGGAATATTTAAGAGTTGCTGTTTTTCGAACATTTTCTCCTTCTGATCTTCTTTGATGAGGTGGTACTTTATTTACTAAATTACACACATATGTTTGTCTCTGACCCCACGATAAATCTTGCCAAAACTTTTTGAAAACTTCTTCACGTTTTAAATCATCAATTTCATTGTATCTTCTCTTCTTGGATTTTCGGCAAAAGTTTGAAATACAAGGTATTCCAAGTTTTCTGTTTTCTCTTTCGTCCTGAAATGTTTTTGACTGATTAGGTGGCATTCTGTATCCTAGGTACGGTTTTCCCTTCATCCTCAGATCTTGATTTATTTTTTTAGTAGTTCTACCGAGTTCGCGTTTTCTTTTAGGGGGACCTTGATCTTGTAGATTGAAAGATTCTGATGTGAGTGATGTGGCTGATTCTGATTCTAGGTTCTCCTCTTCACTGATATGAAAATCTCTGTCCTGACCTACATCGTCGTTTTCACTTACTGCTTCAAGAACATTGATCTCGGTAACCACAGTCTCTTGCGAATTATATACAGCGTGCTCCACTTCATTATCTGCACAATTAGCAGAATCCATTGCCTTTAAAAAGCTATCATTGACGTCATCGATAATATCCATCGGCAAATCCATTATATTGAAATCAGCAATTTGATTCTCTTTTTCATGTGAGTCATTATCAGGACCAATGGTATTTTCTTTGGCAATTTTATTTGGTCTATTTTCATCAATTTGGCACATCAGAAGTATTCTTTTCGATCTTGAAGTCATTATAGTAGAACTAGAATAAAAACCAATACCACGTAAATCATAGGCTATATAAACTTTCAATACCACGTAAGTCATATTCAAAACAATTTCAGTTCAAAACAAGCATGTAAATCTAAACATAATACAATGTTTTCAAAATAAAAAAATACAACAATTTAATTTTTTTTCTGATTAGTTTATTGTCTTCCTTTAAAAAATCGGCTAATCACTTGAACGGACATTCGCCGTGTTAAACTGCTAACTTACGAGCTATTGCGAGCTATTGAATTGATTTTTAACGATTTTATTTTACGTGGTATTGTTTTCGCGCCATTTTCGGATTTTTCAAAGCTTGCTACCGTTTAATAGATGACGCCTCTAATTCTAATGAATTGGAAAACGTTTAAATTTGAGAATTTTAGCAATTTTCGAACTTACGAGATATTGATTTGAGACCATCGATATGTCCAATTTCAGTTATTTACGAAATTATAACACATTAAAGTTTTAATTTTCATTAACATTTTTTTTTTGGTAATTGGATTAGCTATCATATGTCAAAGTTTGATAGTGAGCTAATAAATCACCCTGTATAGTTATCTAAAAATTCTTTTAAAAGAATTCTCCCATAACTACTACGAACCGTTTCGTTATCGACTAAATTAGAACTTCCCCCGAAAAATACACCCTTCTCGATAAATTTGAATGGCCGCATAAATTTTAAATCGTCCCGATATTGGAAATCAAATTTCATCTGTGTCTCTCGTTGGGAATTCTTCTCGGAATCTGCTTGCGCGATCTCCGTTTGGAGTCCGGATCATGTCGTTAACGTTATAAAACTGGATAGGTAGCAGCAGTATGTCATTAGCTCGCAAAAACCGTGAAACGAATCTGAATGTGACCCAAAGAAACAAAGCCGAGGGCCAGACTTTCAATGATGTGGCAGGAAAAGACGCGGATTAAATGCTTCTCTCGGCGTTTTTGACCCATCCCTCAACCTTTTGTCAGGTTTCTATATAATTTCCATTCGAAATTTAAATTGGACTGTTTATTCAAAGAAGATGTAACCGTTATCAAATTATTTCAGTTGAATAATTATAAAAGCCAACGGATTTTACAGACTTCATTTCCCAGAGGTGCTCTCATTTACTTTTTAGTACGTTTTAACTGTAGTAAATTTTTAAATGCAACCTCTTTATTTAACCATACGCTACAAACCGTGAACATTCGTACAAATAATAATGAAATATCTATAATTAATAAAACCCGAGTGAATTCGTTATCGTGTATTTGCAGTAAATTGACGGAGAATACGACTACAAATGAGTTTATTTGTGTTTGAAAATTTTGCGCTCCAAAAGTCATAAAATTTAGCATTGGTCCTCGAAAACAAAGAGGAAATAAAATAGTTTTCAAAATGGTAAATTGTCCGAAATTGTGTACTTTTCCCACTACAAAGCGATGTCGTTCGTACCAACACCGACCGTTTACATGTATTTACACTCATTTCACATACACTCCTGTAACCATTTTTAATTAAACACAAAAATAACAAAGTAACATTCGATAGTTAAATTAATTACTTATATATAATTTTATAATAACCTTTTACATCATCACACTATTTTTTGTATATCTTTTGTAAATAACGAAAATGTAATTGAACAGATGTTATCTATTCCACTTGATACTTATACTTGGTTTAAATAGTAATTATGATTTAGAGGGCTAAACGGATGATGGTGCAAAGTTTCCGTTGTAACTCGTTGCATTAGAGTAGAGTTTCAGTGGTGCCGAAGACGCAGGGCTAATTTAAAAATAAACGTAGAACTGGAAGTTCGCCAGTAAAAAGTCTATTACGGAGGCGGAAAGATATACGAGGGGCGCAAGGATTAGGCAAGAATTTATTATCTTGCTGTGCGGATTATCTGCTTAATGTCGAATTAACGAGAGAGGAAAGTCTGTTTCCAAAAATAGGTTCACGTGTGTATAAAACCATCAGCTCGATGTAAATCTATAACTTAAATAATTATGTAACTTCAAAAAAATAGAAATGTAGAAAAGGAAAATTTCGAGAATAAAGATTTTCTATTAAAAAAGAAAGTTAATATTAGATCTGTATACAGAGACATTTGTTTAACACATTAATAATATAAATCATGGAGAGAGTATGCAATAAATGATTCTAGATTGATACTTTATTGCTCTGGGGAAGTTTGCGATTTTTATTTATAAGAGAACATAACTCAAAATCAGGTAAATGGAGAGTGTGTGTTTCATTGATAACTGCAGATGGATCATGTTCGATGCAATATGGAAACTGCATATGTGTTATTAGAACCACACGTTGCCGTTCGATTAATTTTAGATCGAATATGTAAATCGTATGGCTTACTCATCCATTAAATAAAGAAATGATTTACAACATCAGTTGAACTTTAATTAATATTAAAGATTAAGAAATAAATATTAATAAAGAAAGTTGCATTAGAACATTAAATAGTGGTGGAAAAACAAGTATTTAAATTTAAACGAACTCTGTGAAATGCTTTCTTTAAAAGGGATTGTGTTTAAGATAAGATTAGAGGTTTCCGGCAAGGCAATTGCTACAGTTTTAAACAATAGTTGAAATAAACATAATAATAATAAACTAATACATAAACTATAGACCCAGCATTGACCAAGGAATTAATCAAATTCGAAACGGAATAATGTAGTGAGATCATATAATAGTTGCAACCCCTATTCGATCAACACTGCGACGTCTCGGCTTGACAAATAATTATTATTACTTATTTGGGGTATACAATGCACATATTGTAAGATACACTATATTGCAGCTCCATTGTCTGCTCCTCTCTAAAATTTCGTCTCTCCATTCCTCTTC